CTACCAACATCAGGATGGCTTTGAGTATGTGTGACTGCTGCATATATGAATGTCTTCGCATATAACATGCCTTGGTACAAGACATGCATATAGGCTTCCTCATCATAAACCCAAAAATAAAGAAAAATGTTTATGATTGTCCTTCTTTCTATTACATTTTATTAAGAAGAGAAACAAAATATCAACTTTTTTTTTTTTTGGTGTACTTGTCTGCCCCTATGGTTTAATTGTCCTTTTGTTGTGATAATGGTGAAAAATAATTTCACCACACAATTGAATCAACTGTGATAAATAAAGATTCTTAGAGTGAATGTCATTGTGAAGCTCTTGATGATCATCAGTTTAATTACATGCATATATACATTCCTCAATCTTTTCCTCCTTTCCACAAACCCCTAAAAGTAACCATGTCCTAACACTCTACATCCAATGTTTCTCTATTTTGAGCAAAATTTACATTAACCCAAAAGGAAACAGAGAGATAATTAATCTAAACCCAACATTCCAAGGTTCTCTACCTTCTGCTGTTCAGCAGAACATATGCCAGTTTTACCAGCTAGATGTTGAGGTGCATCAGGAAAACTAGCTCCACTCTACTGGTCAATCTGGATAGATAAATAAACCCAAAAGAAAACAGAAAATGTGATTTGATTATGACTCTCATCTTATATCCCTATCTAATGATGGATTTTTTGAAAAAAGAAAATGTTTGACTGTGGGAGATTTCAAACGGAAACTCGAGATTAATTTGAACTACAACTTTTTTTTTGAGTTGTTTATAAGTAACTTTTTCCTTACATATAAATCTCAAATTTTGTAGGAGGAAAAAGTTGCTTTTTTAACATTTAAAAGTTTATAAATAAGTTCTACAAAAAGCTCTAAATTAGAGGTTTTTTTTTTCTTTAAATTTGTTTATAAGTTCCAATAATAATGAAAAGTAATTAGTTTTTCCTCTTAACAAAATTTGAAATTTTGTAAAAAAAAAAAAAAAATCATTTGTGATCTATTTAAAATATAAGCTTCACCAAACACCTCATGGTATAAATTTACTAATCTCAAGCACCACATTAATTATGAACATGTATAAGAGTTCATTATTTTTACAGACGTGTTAGTTGATCTTGATCTTTGTATAAAATATGCTTACCCGTATATTTACTGGTTGCTCTTATTTAATGGTTAATTTTGTAAAGTTTAACATTTATATATATATATAATTTTTATTTTACAATTTAATATAATTTAAATTATAAAACAATTATATATATAACTATATAAAAAGGACATTAAAAAGAGTCAAATTAAGCTGCTAGAACGTCACCAAGTTGTCGCCCCGGAAATGCATTGTTAAGCAAAAATCCCACCCAAACTGTTTCCCTACCTAACTTCATTTAAAGCTATCAATTTCAAGCAAAGCACATGTGAGGACCAGCATGAGGCTTCCCTAGATTGTAGATTCTCTGCCGAGACATATATACACACATAAAAAGAGCGCCCCTACCTTCGAACACTTCATGAATTCATCAGGTGCAAATTAACTGTGGGTGCAGTATATGTATATATGTAGGGAACGACAGCAGGAGGAAAATAGAAATACTAATATATGCCACGAGATTTTGTCGTGACTCATGACAAATTAATTCATTTGACTAAGACCTGCAAATGTATGGATGATCTTACCTAAATATCCCACAATACATATCTTTTCCATTTTTTTCAATTTAAACATATTTTAAACATATTTTAAGAATATAATATTAATTAATATTGTAATTTACCTAATTGAAAATTTGTCTATCCCTTCTATTTCTTTCATATTAAAAATACCCTAAATCTAATAATCCACCTTTGTTTGGTATTAATTAATCTGTTGCCCAAATTAATTTGACGATTTTTTTTTCCTTGACAAAGTTGGATCTTGGGTAAGATACCACAAAATAGATGTTAAATGTGTACA